CCTGGGGACACATAATCTGCTGTTTCATTTTGCTAGTCTGAAAAATGTTGGTGGCTCCTTTTCCAAAAATGCTTAGTTTGCTAAAAACTTCCCTAGTTCTAATTTTTATTTTTTGCCCACAGCCCCTTGGTCGGATTCGAGCTCCCTTGTTTCCTGCTCCCTTGGCTCAGATGAACACTCCCATGTTCCTGCCCTCTGCTCAGGTGTCTTATCCTGGGAGGCCTACACATGTAAGAATTTATTTCCTTGAAAGCTGGGATATAGGCAAATTTAGTGGGTTGGGAGATGGAGAAAAACATAAAGTGTTCTTGCCTTTGGAACTGGGAAAATGGAAAGGAGATCCAGGCAGGGGTCTGTATGGGGTGTGGAATTGGAAAAGGTTTGGTTTTAGGGAAGAGAGGCCAACTGAACTATTTTGGTGAGTAGGTATGCATGTAGGATCATGGGCACAGAGGAAAGGAATGGTCTCAGGACATAGAATTGCCTCTATAAAGTGTGCCTTGTTTGCCCTGTAGGCTCCATCTACCTGCAAGCTATGTCTAATGTGCCAGAAGCTTGTTCAGCCCAGTGAGCTCCACCCAATGGCCTGTACCCATGTGTTGCACAAGGAGGTAGATACTCTATCCTTTTTAATCCCTTCTTTATCTTCTTTTACCCAGGGGTTGGTATAGCCACTAACTGTACAACAATGTGGGTCCTTGCCCTAGGTTTAGCCTGGGTTTGTTTTGCTGAGGAACCTTAGATGGGAGGAATGGAATGAAAACCTGATCCCAGTCTTATAACTCCATTAATGGGATGGGTTGAAAGTTACTTAAAACAGATTTCCTCTGGCAATCCACTTGTTCCTCATTCTCACTACATCACTAGACAGAGGCAAGAATACTTAAAACTGCCTGGCTTGTGGGAACATCAGGATAAAATCTCTATCTTTCCCACAAAGGGGGGAGGTGATGGTCCTAGACTTTGAGGGGAAGAGTGTTGGGAATGAAGAGAACCCCTTTCTGCCCGTGAAGGGATCATGGTATGGAGCCAATCATATTGGCTATACATCAACAGCACTCTCAGACTGTTGGAATTTAGTATTCTCTTTATAATGAAGACCTACTTCTTTGCTCTAGAGCTGGTCTTTCTGGGCATGTCCCAGGGACTCTGCTCACACTGTCAGAACTTTTGGCCCCTTATTCTTTCTTGCTGGTCATCTCAAGCCTCAGTGGCACTGTGCCTGCTCCTCCCACTCCCCCTTCCCTTGCCCCCAGTAGCAAACAACTCTTAACCTTAAGGCTTCTCTTTCTCCTTTCCAGTGTATCAAATTCTGGGCCCAGACCAACACAAATGACACTTGTCCCTTTTGTCCAACTCTCAAGTGATGGACCTGGCTGGAAAGGAAGAAGAGGAGAGACAGTTATGAACAGGAAGGAGAGGGTTCAAGATTCTAGAGCTCTATATTTATACAGCAGTGTGTACTCATGCCATGTACATTTTTATTATATAGGTAATGTGTGTATAGAAAGTCTGTATGCAAACATTCATAAATGAAAGTATGTATATTATGCAGAATTTTCCGTTCCCCCTGGTCTTGCGGTTTCCCTTGATATATGGTACAAGTCATAGGAAAAATAGTATGCACTGTAGCATTGAAATGATGGTATTCTTGCCCAGAGTTATTTTCAAATACAGTATAACAGACGACGCCGGGGAAGCTGCTCTTGCTGCCTGACCACCTTGCTTTGATTTGGCTCAGCCTGCAGCTCCATTTCCTTCAGTCACATCCCTTCTTATAGGATTGAATCCTGGTGTTTGCTCGGCTGTCTAACCAGATGCCTAACTCACAGGAAACCTCAAGACATTTCTGCATCATCCTAGACAAAATGAGACTCGATAGAGAAAGAAATGTAATGCAAGATAGTTTGACTTTAGATTGAATAATTTACTGTGTTAACGATCGTTATTTTTACGTAGACATTAGGTTTACAGAGTATTGCAGTTTACATCAGCAGAATTGAATTCACAGTCTGAGGATAACAATATCAATCAAATCCCTCTATTCTCCTTGCCACTCTACTTCCTGGGTACAGGTGTCTGTGCAGAGGTTGGCACAACCTATGGGTTTCTCCTACGCGTTTCCCTCATTGACTTAGGCTGTGCCCTATCTCTGACGGACCAACTTTGTAAAGTCCTCACCTCCTTTGCTTCGGTCTCCCAGTCTATAGATTTATAGCCCTCCCCCCTCCCCCCCTTAAGGTTAAGGCAGTTGGTTCACAACCAAGTTGTTTGGTGTCCTTGGGTGAGCTCTGAGCAGGCACTGGGGTGAGGAGATCTCTGTGCAAATTCACCTACAGAATTATCTTGGGGTAGTTCTTATAATCTTTGATACAAGAGTGCTACTGGGGGCATGTGTTCGCTGTAATTGGGGAAAATGGAGACCAGAGTAGGATGAGGAGGGGAGGCCACCACAAACCAAAAACCATGTCGTGGATTTTAAATTCCATGTTGCATTTTACAGTTAGCCATCCATGTGCTGGCTAGTACTACCCCTTGCCCTTTGGTCTCTTCTGGGTTTTTTTTTTTATTCCATACTGGGAAAAATCATAGCTCTGTTAGATCTCTGAATCTTACCCTAAGCCATTGAGTCCCTGTTCTGACAGGACTTAAAGCTAGATCTTTCCCTAATGAGATTCATCCAGGTGAAAACCAAACACTATAAAAGAACCCAGTTGTATGATTATCAGTAACCTTTGGGTCAGTATGAGCAGGTTGTGTTTTATTTTGCTGGAGCCTGGTAGTAAGCACTCTCTACTGATTAGATGGGGGTGGCAGATCCTCCATATCCATCTGCATTTTTCCCATTCTTCCTGTTTGTTATCTTTCTTACCTCCCTTCCCATCTGTTCACCCAGGTGTCCTTTCTCTCTTTTCCCTTTTCTTGTCTCTCTTGCCGAGATTCATTGTCTGGCCATCAGATCAAGGAAATGGCCTGGATGAGTCACCTTTGGCATCTTTCAAATGGTCTGCTGCTGAACTGGAACAGAGGTGAGGAGGCTGCTCCAGCTCACAGGGCTCAGGTCCTCCATTATTACCTCCTCCAGATTTCTCTGGTTAATGTTTTTGCCTTTTGTGAATGATGTCTACACTTGTAACAACTGGCTTTTACTCTGATTCCTTTGTCTGAGGCAAAAAATATGGTTGGTTGGTTGGTAGGATTGGAGATCAATTCTTAGTTCTCTTCATTTCGTGATTTTTCTTTATTTATAACCTTTTTTGCCTCCCCTGAACCTCATAATTTCTGGGCTACCTTTGATGCCTCTCAGTATTTCTAAAAGGCTAGGAAACTAACTTGGATAAGAACGATAACTTCCAGTTATCTCCAGAAAGCCTTTGTGGAGAGTGGAGAGAATAAAGAGTGTGGCATAGAGTAGAGGGGCTAACACCCCTCTCCCCTAGCAAAAGCCCTTGAATAACCTAACCTGTAGCAAGATGACAAGTGCTTCTGGAGAGGTTGGGTGTGGGAAGTGGGACCCTAGTGTTGCTCAGTTCTTTCCCTTTTGTCTTAAGAACTATTGTAAAGCAACACCCAAGTTCCATCTATCCTCTTGCCTGCTGGCCTACAAATGTGAAACCCGAGTAGGCCAGATGAGGAGCGTTGGAAATGGGACAGTGGCTTTTGAGGGTAGAATTAAAAAATAGATACATACATACGTATCTTACAAGCAAGAAGCAGACACTGAGAGGGATTTTCTTTACATTTAAGAGTTCAAGGTTGGTAGGGCAACTTGGAGGAGGGAATTGTAAAAAGAAGAATTAAGTACAACCAGTTTTCTCTTTAAAAAAATAATAGTAGGGCTGCAACACCAGCTAACCAAAGTTGTAAGTTTTATGCCCTGGGAAAAGCTAGGAAAAAACCAGTTTTCCTCAGCCTTGGGTAGGGACTATAAAGCAGAAGTTGGCCTTTTCATTACACACTAGCAGTCCCAAAGGTTTATTTACACACCCAAGTAAAGTCCCAAGCTAGGAGGAAGCAGTCTTTTGAGATCTTCCCGTCAGTTCTGGGCGGTACAGGGTAGTCCTCATCAGCCAGAACGGCACCAGGTGCAGTGAAAGGAAAGGGACCGCAAGTGTGGGTGAAGAAATGAGAATCTGTGGTTCATTATTCTCATTGTTATTTGCTTATGGCTTGTGGGGAGCTCGCTGGGGCTCTGGTCCACAGAGTGGCCAGGCTGAGACAGGAAACTCCAGAAACAGTTTTCTCCCTTTCCTCCCCTCACCCTTGCCCCACCTCACACCCACAGAAGAGGAGCCCAGGCAACCCTCATCTAGACTAGAAAACAGTGGTGCAGAGAAGGTGGCTTCCTTTGAGGGGGAGGTGGAGTTGAGGTCACTTGTATTTTCCTTCTCACCTCCTGCTAACATTACAGCAGGTCCTCTGAGCAGAGGCAAGATGAGCTTGTTCTCCCTGTGCCTAGCTCTAGGTGGCAGTATAATACATGGTCAGGGGAGCCAAGGAGCCGGGGAAAGAATGGCACTCAGTGAGGGAAGAAAAGCCTGCGATGAAATGAGGAAGCTGGGAGAAAGAAGCTGCTAGCCTCTCTCTGGACAGCTTTGGTACGAGATAGCAACAGGACCAGAGACCACTGAGTTTTGGGAGCTGTCAGTACTCTGCCAGCTGCACTGGAAGTTGCTTCATCTACCTGTATATGACGGGGGTAAGGGGAAGATGGTAGGATGGTGAGAAAGGTCTGGGATAGTGAGGGAACAGATGCCTGGTCCCTATGTATAGCTGAACGCTAGTGAGATTGAGGCCGAGGTCCAAGGTCCCAACTCCATACTTGCTGGAAGTCCTGGATTCTCTTTTCGAAGACTAAGGGGAAAATCCCTCCCTTCACTTAACTCCATAACTTGCAGAGTCCTAGAGGACCATGGGACTTTTGTGTCTCAGTAAAGCGGTGGGAAGGGAGGGAAAGAGGTGAGACCCGCTGAGTGGGTAGCTCAAGAAATACAGCTAAGCTCTGCCTTGTTTCATTTATTCTGTCTGTGGGCATGAAATAAAGGGAGGAAGTTGGGAAGTCTTAGCAGTGCTCTGAGAACAGAGTCCAGGCAGTGAAAAAAGTCATTTGCCAAGTAGACCTCAGGAGGAGATATTTGATTTGCAATCTGGTTGCTCTTTCCTGAAGGCAGATGTTGAGGACTCTGGTCAAATTTTGCAAGGATTTCTTCTGAGTTTTACCTTGAAGTCAGTCAGGAGGAATAGGAAAGGGAGTGTCAATGGCCATAGTGTTAAGGGGCCAGTCTGGTTCATTCGTGACAGCTGGAGTGCCTTACCAAATTGGGGTCTTCCTGTTTGAGCTATATGAGATGGTATCCTATGTCGATGGCAAGGCCTAAAACTGAGACTGTCTTCCCATTTACTGTTTTTCCTTAACTTCTTTCTCTCTCTATCTGCCATTCTTACCATTGCTTGTCCTCTCTTCCCCCCACCCCCAATAAAAATCACTTAAATACCCCAGTCTATTCACAAATTTTAAAAAATTCACCCCTGTAGTCAAATTAGGGTTTTTTTTTATGTGGGTTCTACACAAAAATAAGGGGCTATTATACATTAACCCCTGCTGAAGAGGAGAACCAGGGCGGGCCATGTCTAATCCCAGGACACCAGCAGGGCAAAGGCTGGGTATGGTACCAATTCTGGGAATAAGGGAAAGAAGGATTTGGATTGAGGAGAAGTAGGTGAGGTGGTGAAATTTTTAGGGATGAAGTTTCAAGCAGCAGAAAATTTCCTAGCTGAGGTTTGAAGTGACCAAAGGATTTCCTGCCATTGGAGAGCTTCCTTCTTTCCTCTTCCCCCTTCTAAAGACATTATCCCTGTGGGACGCACCTTGCCAGTATCTTCTGGTTCTCTGTCAAGATAGGCAGGCTGGTGGGTAAGGGTCCTGAGGTGCTCTGGTCACATGTTCTGTCTCCATGTCTCCTGCCTGTGGCCAGAGTAGACAGCCATAGAGGGCCTATGAGGCCTGGAGGGCCCCTCACTTGAGCAGAGAGATGTCATCAGCAAAGTCATCCTGCTGGCGGCGCAGGCAGCGGAGGCAGCGCCACTGGCACACCATGAGGCAGAGTGGAAGCATGAAGAGAGCACAGATGGCGGCCATGACGTAGGCGATGGTCATGAGGGTCGACTCATCTGTCTGTGGAATGTTGTAGCCACAGTCCTCCATGTCTGCGATAACAAAGGGGCCTTCCACTGCTGCTGTCCGGAACTCGTCGTGCACTGTGGGAGGGTGGAGGAAGGTGGCATGTGAGCTGGCACAGGTCTTGTGCCTGAAGGTAGTTTGGGTTAGACATGAAAAAACTTTCCAAAACCATGAGACCCTAGAAAATGGAGGCTGTCAAAGCTCCCTTATTTTAGGAGATTTTTAAAAGACAATCTGTCCTAAGTGAGGAGCAGCATGTTACAATCAGCCAGGCAGAGGGAGTGTTCTACAAGCCTCAAGAGTCTTTGTTTCTTTTAGGGCCACGTAATGCCAGCCACACACCCACACCTCCCAGGGCTAGCTGTACAGTCTTGTTCCTTGGCTTACCTTTCCTAAGTGATGGTGCCCACATTCATCTTTGTAAGCTAAGTATCACCAGGTAGTACATTGTCCATCTATTGTGTGTGTTCATCTTTCTAGGACACTGGAACTGTTTCTGGGTGGCCTCTGGTCTCTTGGGCTTTCAGCAGGGGTCACTATGCTTGAGTTGTAGGGTCAAGAAGCTAGATAGGTATTGACAACCCTTGCTCAGTGTGTTTACTTTGAGGGACAGGCAACTCCCCATCAAGTTGGTACAGGCCCAGATGGTCTAACTATCCAACCAGAATAAATACAGACCCTCTGGCTTCCCAAAGCCTGTGCTCTCACCGTGGCAGGCACTGACACCAAAGCCAATTCGTTTGTGGGCTCTGTCAAAGACAACGTAGAAGCCTTCCATGATCACAGCTCCCATAACAGTGCCCGTGGATGATTGTGAGATGGCAAACTTGTAGCAGTCATCTTGAGACGTGGCAACGTCCTCCACTGGCCTTAGGTATTGCTAGGGGTAGATGATCATAGGGTGAGGGACATCTCACTCAAACTCTCACCCTACCTTTTCTCTGGTCCTGAGGTGTGCTTAAAGATCATCCCAATAATAATAATAATAACAATTCATCTTGAAATATGTTTTGCTTTTATCTCATTTTATTCTTACAGCACTCCTGTGAGAAAGGGCATTTGGGATGAGAAAACGGACTCAAAGATTAAATACCTTGCCTGTTTGGAGACCCATTTTTCCAGAAAGGTTAATCCAGTGGTTCTTTTCCATATTTGTTTTGTCCCCATTCAGCCATGCCCAGTGTCTGTCTTCTATCCCTCCCAACCCATATTCTTTACCTTCCTTTTCCTGAAGCCCATTTGGTTGAGGAAGAGACATACCTGTGGCAGAATGGTGATTCGGAAGGACTGATTAGTGACTTCACCCATTAGGTAGAGTGAGATGACTGGGAAGATGTTCCAGGGGGTAGTGCCAGCTTGCCAGCACACCAGCTGCTCCCCTAGCCAGAAGCCATCTGGGAATTTCTCTGTCTGTCTTGGCCAAGAAGAAATAGAAGTTGGAGGGACTAGTTATAACAAAGTGGCCTCTGTTACACTTTGTGCTCATTTTTTGGCACTGCAAAGGCCCCACTTGTTCAGCCCTGATGGAAAATTGGACTAGAGAAGGGAGAAACTGAGTTACATATAGTGGAGAATAACTAGATGATGAATTTCCTAGAAATGTCCTAGAATCAGTTGAAAGAAATGGTGAAGAGGAGACAGGGTAGGATGGTGGAACGAGAACTACCTTCAGCTGTTTGAAGACTTGTCGTTTGTTTTGCTTGGCTCTAGATGACAAGAGTTAGAACCAGTGGATAGAGCTTATGGGGATATAGAATTGCATTGGAATGGATGGCCTGGCGGTCTTCAAATAGAGGTTGAACCATTACTTGCTGGGGATTCTGTAGAAGGGATTCAAGCTTAATATATGGTCAGGACTAGATGGCTTCTGAAGACCATAGCTGTTCATTCTATAACTCTTGGTATGGGTTGGGGAAGGGTACAACTTGAAGTGGAAGACAGAGCAGATGATAGCTGAGAAAGATGGGGAAGGACCAATGTCTAGAGAGAGTTAAGGTGCTGGTCCCTAGAGCTGCAGCACTGGGTTGCTGCATTCTGTACGGGTATTGATCTAATTTGATTTTTTTGTGCCTCCTTTCCCCCCAGCTCCCTCCAATGCCTACATTTGTAGATGTGTCCCTTAATTTCACTGACCGAGGAGGCTGTCTTGATGGACTTGACTGCAGCCTCAAACACTTTCTTGGGCAGTCTCAGGTTGGTGGTGCCACTGTCCACAATACTCTTGTCATAGTTGTACTAGAGAGGAGAAAAGATGTTCATGCAGCCAAGTGTCTTTGGGTGGCAGGTGGTGGCAGTGTGCTGGTAAGAACTATACTGGTCACCAGTTAGTCCAAGAAGTCTTGGGTATGGACTGGCATAGTATTCCTTTGTCCTTCAATTGCCCCAGCTAGAACCCCCACCTACTCACACACCACCAGGATCAGTACTTCTCAGTAATGCAGCCCAAAGGCCTGTGGACCTATAATTGGCCTTGCTCCTGTGCTCTAAGGACTACTAGACCTTTCCATGCACCCTACAGCTAAACTTTCCTATATGTATTGTCTCTTGCAATTAGAATGTGAGCTCTTTTGAGAGCAGAGACTATCTTGCTTTTCTGTTTGTATTTCTAGCTTTTAGTATGGTTCTTGGCATATAGTAAGAGCTTAATAAATGCTTTTCCATCCCATTCAAATAGCTCCTAAATCATCGTAGTCATTGGTCTAGAGCCAAAATGGTCTAATACTAACTCACATTTGTATAGTGCTTTTTAATTTTTCAGAATGCTTTTTGTACCTATTATCTTTTTCAACCTTGAAGGGTGGATTGAGTAGGGATTATATTATGTCCATTTGACAGATGAGGAAATTGAGACCCAGAAAAGTTAATTGGCTTTCTTAAGTATACATAGCTGAGTTAGTGGCACGAGTTGGGACTAGAACATGGGTTTCTTCCTTCCTAGTGCAAATATTCTTTCCACCATACCACAAATGTGTTTTTTCTGTGAATACACTTCCCAACCTCTGCCCTTCCAGATGGAGGTTCTGCTGTCATTGCTGTGTTACTGATCGAGACGCAGCTCCCTTCCCCAGTTCTTCCCGAAGCCTGTGCTTGGCCTGTCATCCCACTCCTGCTCCCCAGCACTCAGGATGTGCCTTCTCACTCCCAGTATTCCTGGTACTCTTACCTCCTTACAGTCCATTTTCAGGTCCTGCCCATTGATCTCCACCCGAACAATGACAACTTCATAGTACCATTCTCGTCGGATCGGTGTGTACCACAGACTGCCCACATATAGGGAATGGTCAATGCCCCCAATGATCTGGAGAGAGAGAGGGCCAGGCTTGTGTCATGCCCCAAGCCGCTGGGTGGGTAGGTTAGGGAACTAGGCGCATGGGGCTTTAGGAACCTGGGGGCATCAGTACGTCAGCTGTCGGATGTAATGATGTAACAACAACAAATTAGACATCTCTTTGGATAGCAAAGCCCTTTAGAGATCATGGTTTTTATCCCTCTTCCTGCAGGTGGAAAATTTTATTCAACAGAGGAGATGCTACATCTTTCCCAGTCACCCATTCCACTTTCATATAACTCTTTTTGTTAGGAAGTCATTTAAATCTTACCCAACTTACTGTTGTTGCTATTTGTCTATTGCCTCATTTTAGTGGGGATGGAGAACCATTCACTATTTTGCTGGTGAAGGTATGAAAACCCACCTCTTCTTTGGACTAAGTCATGTTAGTTCCTTTAGCCTTTTCTGACTGTTTTTTCAGTTATTTAATCATTTTTTTCTCTCATCTGACCCCATTGCAAGTTTCCTGTGAATCTTTTTGTAGGTAGAATCCAAGACTTGCACAGCAAAGGGTCTGACCAGCCTTGAGAAAAATAAAGGGTCACCAGCCTCTGAATTGCCTCTGGCTTAGCCCTGGAGGGAGGAGATGCCAGCTGGTATCTGCCCACCTGCTCTGCCAGTGTCTACCCCTGAACCCACTTACCATGCTCCCGCCAACTGAGGCCATTGCCTCAGACTGGTTGAGGCTTGGGAAGCCCGTGCCACACAGCTGTAGGGAGAAGAGGTTGGGTACTTGGGTCTGCTTCACCAGAGAGTCAAAGAAGGGCTCCAGGCTCTCATCGGGCTGTTAAGGAGATAAGTAGAGAATGAATCTTGGGGCAGAGTCAAGGAAACAAGGGGAAAGAATCCTGTTTCTGTGCCAGAGCAAAAACAGTTATCCGGGGGTGGGGTGGAGAACTTTGGAAGTCCCCTTCAAAGGGTCATCTTGGAGATAGTTAGCCTTGGGGTAGAAAGGCACTTTTAGAAGGTGATGGCAGATTGGCTGATGCTGAGGGTCAATGCCCGTGCCAAGAGAGGGGTGTTGATGAGGTGAGAGCTCTTATGGGATCTTTGAAGTAGGGTCATGCTTTCAGTCCCCTTATGCATGCCTGACTTCTTCCAGATATGTGGAAATCTCACCCATTTTTTAAAGAAAAGCTTAGAATCTTTTGTTTTTATATCATTTTCATTACCAAATGCATTTATCACCCCACCACTCACCCATTCTTCAAAATCTCTGAAGAGAACTTTTAGTGTCTCATACTTTCATAACTTCCCTATACTTAATCTCAGATGTTCTTCCTTCAGTTCGAGTGCATTCCTACTTGCTACAGTTCCTCCCTCAGGCAGTCCCTTTACCCTTCCCTCCCCATAATCCTTCCTCCCCAGGCAGTGTTCAGCCTAGCCCTCAGCCTCCTCACCCTGGCAATCTCAGCATAAGCCAGTCCCAGGATGCCCTCCCAGTTAGAGCCATTGATGAAGAACTTGTCAGACTCAGTGATGGCAGCAATGTTGGCACGTACGGTGACATTTGGGCCATGAGGGATGCTTACTAGGTCAGTGCCCAGCTCGCCCTCCCACTTGCCTTGGGTGTAGGGCACGTATACACCCTTCCGTAAGTCTCGATAGGTGCTGGATCTGTGAAGAGAGGGTAGGTGTAGAGTTGTATGTGTCACTTTCAATAACACATACTAGGTGTTAACAGAATCTCTAACTTGGGGTCCTTTGGCATCAGCTCCAAAGAAACCATAGTAACAAGCATGGCTGCCAATGTCCCATTACCTTTTCAGTGGGGTGTCCATTCCTATCTTAGTTGGGACTCTAGGCTCTTCCTCCTAAAATCCTCTCCATATCTAGATGTTCATAGAGTGGGCCTAATGCTATTAGACAACTCATTTTTGTCCTGAGAACACAGTGGTTAAGAGTACCATGCAATTTTACAAAGGGAAGTGGGGCTGGAGCTCCTTCAGCAAATGCCCCATCAGCTCATTTCCCTACATCTTGGGCCAAGGCCCTGTGGGAAACAAGTCTGGGCATTGTGCATTGTGCATGGTGCCAGAAGGGCAGCCAGGGGCATCTCTTCCTCTCTCAGCTTGGCTGAGCTCCCAGAGAAAAGGACTCATTGACTCCCTTGCTGCATTGGGACCTGGTGGTGCCAACCGGGTGACAGAGAGTGTGCCAGGAAGAAATGATAGGGAACCCTCAGAGCAGATTACAGAGAGGACTAAGATTTGTGCAAGGTCCAAGATTTCACACAGGTACATGTAACACACTACTAATATACAGTACCCTACCTGTGTATAAGCACTTTGCCTACTTGAATATTTCCCACCCATTTACTCACATCCATGGGTTCCAATACTTGTGAGATCTTACACTTAACATAATGGCACAACCAGGGCTTGAGCTACTAGGGAGGAGGGTCAGAGAAGGAAATGATTCCTCTTCATTTACCTTGACCTTGCTTCCCTGCCTGTCAAATGCTTAGGGAAGTGGGAAGAGAGAAGGACTTAGGAGGGGAGTGTGGGGTTCACATATACTCGGAAGTGCTTGTATAGCCCCAGAAAGAGGGTGTTTTAGAAGCATTCTTGTCTCTTCTCCTATTCCTCTCATTCTGCCTCTTAACTTGCATGTATCAGCCTTTTTCTAATCCATACATTCACTAGTGAACCCCATGATTCCCTTTCCACACCTGTCAGTGATTTTTTCCAACCATAGTTTTCCTTCCTTCCCATTCTAAGTAGGCATCTCAGCTCAGTTCATTATCTCTTCCTCTAAGCCCTATTTTGGCCCTTTGTCTTGCAAAACTGCCAACCCTCTCTAGGTGAGCTCTCTGTGTGTCTGCAAAGGGAGGGTGATTTCTCATGGGGAAGTTAATAGGCATCTCTGCTCTGAATTTCCTGACTTTCACCCAGGTTAGGGGCTCATGAAAGGCCCTTTTTCTTCTTTGAAACAAGCAGTACAGGTCTTAGGGTTCCCCTGACCCTCATGGGAAGGAGACATGATGGGAGCCATTTTAGCCCATCTGCTGGTAGCTAGTGTGGCTGTGCCTGCTCACTTCTCAGCGAATGAGTACCTCTGTGGCTCTGCATACCCTGCCAATCTCTCATCCTCAGCCTCTGTCTCCTCAGACTATGCCCTCTTGGTCTTGCTCCTCACCACCTCAGTCACTAGTCCCTGCCCCCCTTCATTAGAGAAAATTAAGGGATGTTGGTTCCCCCATCACTGGGAGAGTTGGATTTCTAGGATGGGACTGGGAGGTGGAGTGGGATGTCTCTCCTCCATTTCCCCCCCTGCACTCACAGCTGTCTCCGGTAGTATCGATGTAAGAAAGGGTGAGGGGCAGCTCCTACTGCAAAGTTACTGCTGCCTGTGTCCACTAGGATGTTGAGCTGTAGAAGAAGAGAGGGAGAGAGAAAGATGTTATTAGAGGACAAGAAACTCAAGGTGCCGCAGCAGTATCTTCCCCTACCTCCAAGTCACGTACTCTTCTTCTTTAATGGATGGCAATGAAGATGTCAGGTCATGCCCAGCAAGAACCTAGAGAGACTTAGGACCCTCTCAGAATGTTCATCAGTAAAGTAATGGATAAACAGCAGTAAGTGTCTCAGGAGCCCTCTTGTATTTACCCCCTTTCTCCTCTTGTGCCTATATCTCTTTCAAAGCACAGAATGTAAGAACCGTAAAGGGACCTAGGAGATCATTTGATCCAACCCACTCACGCTACTACTGCATTTGACCTCTTGGTGTCTAATTCTGCCTCTGATTCTGTCTCTATCCATTGAATTTTATCTTTCCTCTTTTTTTTCTGGTTGTCCCAGGAAGTAGCACACTCAGCAGGCACCCTGGCCATCTCATCCAGCATCCCCCCCCATGTAGAGTATAGCTATTTTAGGGACTTCACTGAGCTGGCAAAGCTGTTGGGGTGGGTACTGGAGCTGATCTGCATGGGTTGACGTGTGTGTACACATGTTCCTGGGTTGGTATGTGATTTCCTAGGGTGATACTCATCAGCTTCAAACCCTACTGTGATGACCCTTCTACTTCAGTTGCCAAAGAATCAGAGTGATCAGGAACATGGCAGCTAGCCTCATGAAAATCTGTCATTCTGGGCTCCTCACTCCATTCCCACAGCTCCTAGCTGGGTAAAGAGACAGATGCCTGTCCCAAGGGCTTCCCAGTACATAAAGCCCCTTGCAAACTTGAACTCTAGTCACAGAATCACAGAATCTGAGTAGGAAAGGAGTTTTCTAGTCTAAACACCTATCTCAAGAAAAAAATAACTTTACAATATACCTTACAAAAGGTTCTCCACCTTCTGACTTCAGAAACCTCTAGTGAAGGGAAAACTACTCCCTTGAGACATAGTCTGTTCTTTTGGGTAGGTCTGCTTATTAGGGAATTTTTATTTTGATGAAGCCTAATTTTGCCATCTCATAAATCCCATCCATTGGGATTTATTGGACCCCTGGGGACCAAGCAGAACAAATCTAATCCCCCTTCCATGTGACAGTCCTTCAAATGCTTGAAGGCAGCTATCTTGTCCCCACTAAGCCTTCCTTCCTCTGGCCCATCCCCACCACCTACTCCCATCTTTCCTGTCCCCAGTTCTTCTCCATCTTTTTTCTTTGCCTGATGACCTCTCTTCATTCTGGTGACTGTATTTGCTGAGAACCTAGTCTGAGCAGCATGCTATGCTGGGTGTTTGGGTGAGGACACACACGAAAAGTTACTGCTTCTAGAGAAAATTACAGTCTAACTGAGAAAAGACAAATCTGTTCCTCTCATATCTTACATGTCTATCATCTCCTCTGTCCTCTATTCCTGGTCCCTCTTCCCTGCTTCTTCTTCCTCATATCTCCCACAATACCCCCTTTCTACCATCTTCCCTGTCTCTCTGACCCTACTACCGTCTCTCCTACTTCTTGCCCTCCATTTCCCTTATTTCTGTCACTTTCCCGATGTTTCTTCTCCTGAATGCTCTAGCTTCCGGCCCCTCTCTCCTATCTCTGGGCAGCCACCAGCTCCTGAGTCATTTAGAACTTTCAGAGAAAATCAATAGAATCAGGGGAGACTCAGCAGTTTAGATTGCTCTCCCTTGAAGTTAACCAGGTTAATGATTAAAGTGTTCTCTTTCCTCCACAGCATCCCCACAACCCCCCGATGAGTGGGGATCCCGCACTCTTTAGCATCTTGCCTTTCCTAGGAATAGATATCCCTATTCTCTCTTAAACTCTATCAGGAAAGAACCAACTGTGGATACTGAGTGTCCCTGTGACTTGTGGGGAGACTTTCAGTTTTGAAGAAGAGACCTTGGAAGGTCTGCCTGTTGTCCTGCAGTATTGGAAATGAGCTGAGCCTGCTCCATGGAGGCAGTCTTAGCCACTCTCTGTTTCTCCTTGTCTTGCCCATATACATTGTTCTTTCAGGGTGATGGTAGTGAGGATTCCAGTGGCTTAATCACATGGGAGCACCATCCTAATTAAGGATGTCCAGTCTCCAAATGGAAGTCCTATTCCCTCCTCCAACCCTCACCTCAGTTATATTTATACATGCCCTTTAACTGTTACTGGGACCTGGGTAGTACAAAAATGTTAGCATATTAGTTCTGTGTTGGGGAAGGTTGCCTAGGATCCTTTGCTCCATCTCCAGCCTCTTAACACACTGTTTCCTGAATCCTCTCCCTGCAGGTCTCTTCTGCAAGCTGTGCCTCCCCAGACAAGTATGGCCCCTAGTCCTGTCCTAATTCCAGCCCTATTCCTCACTTGATGTAAGTTTCACCTCCTCAGGGTACAGATACAGAGAACAACATTGGCAATCTTCCTAAAGCATTTTGGGCAGACCTCTCTGTGAGGTTGGGCTGTAGCTATTGCCTACCTTAAATCAAGTCAGCAGGCACTCACTAAGCACCTGCTATGTGTCAGGCACTGTGCTAAGCACTGGAAATGTACAAATGTCTGATTTCTTTGAGTAGGGGGGGTCCCAATCGAGAAAGAGGAGTCAACTTTTTTCCATTTCAGCAACTTCTATAGCAAGGCTGTTGCCCAGTCTGTATGCTGTAAATAGAAATTTTCGCCAATGGGACAAATAGCATAAAAGGCACCCCACAAATACACTTTTAAAGACAAATTCAGTTGAGTGGGAGTGGAGAGAAACTCCAGGGAGAGACCTTAAATCTTAGAACATGAGGCTTTATGGGAAGATGGGAAGTAGACAGAGGTGCAGGGATAGTGCCCATCTTCATGGCCTGCTATTTTTTTGGTTGTATTTTATTTAAATGCTTCATTGATACTTTTCATTTTAGGGGGGCATCACAAACCTCTTCTCCCTACTCCCCCCCAAAAAAAAACCCCAACCCTCCCTTGTAAAAACTTAGCATAGTCAAACAAAACAAAGATACACAATGGCCACATCTGAAAACGTATGTCTCATTTTATACCTCTGGTCCATCACTTCTTTGTCTAGAGGTGGGAAGCATCATTCCTTTAGAGTCATGGTTGGTCATTGCATTGATCATAGTTCCTAAGGTCTTTCAAATGTGTTTTTCTTTATAATGTTATAGTCACTGTATAAATTGTTCTCCTGGTTTTGTTATATAAGTTCATATAATTCTTCCCAATTTTCTCTTAATCCATTCCTTTCATTATTTCTTATGGCACAATAATATTCCATTGCGTTTATATGTCATAATTTGTTCTTCTATTCTCTGGTGGATAGGCATCCCCTTTGTTTCTAAGTTTTTTTTTCTATAATAAAAAGTGCTGTATGGATATATTTGTGCATATGAGTCCCTTACCTCTTTTATCTCTTTGGGGTATATACCTACTAGGTATACTCAACCTAGTGATGTTTTGAGCAAAGTTCCAAATTGCTTTTCCAACATGGTTAGATGAATTCACAGTTCCATTAATGTTGCATTAATATGCCTGTCCTCCCATTTCCCTTCCAATAATTGCCATTTTCTTTTTTTTTAGTCATCTTTGACAAACCAAGGATGTGAAATAGAACTTTAGCATTATTTTAATTTGCATTTCTTTTATTATTAGTGATTAAGAATACTTTTTTCCATATGGTTGTTAATAAGTTTTCCTTTTTCTTTTCTTTTTTTTTGAGAACTGCCTGTTCATACTTTTTGACCATTTATCTATTGGAGAATGACTCATTGTATTTTTGAATGAGTTCTTAATGTATCTTGAATTTCAGATTAGATTCCCCGCCCCCGAGCTAATGATTTCCTTTCTTATTTTAGTTGCATTGGGTTTTTTTGTGAAAAAGATTTAAAATTTTATGTCAAAACTGTACATTTTATCTCCTTTGATATTTATCCCTTGTTTTGTCAAGAACTCTTTCCATATCCATATATTTATAGTTGTGAACAGTATTTGCTTCCTTATTTCTCTAATTTGTTTATGATAAGACCTTTTTTATGTAGGTCATGTATCCATTCGGAGCTTATTGTGTATGTGAAATATGTGGGTTTATTTTATATTCTGCTACTTGGCCGAGGTTATTGTTTCAATTAATTTATAGTTGAATCTCTAGGGTTCTTTAAGTAGACTACTATATTACCTGCAAAAGTGATGATTTTATTTCTTCTTTGTCTATGCTTATTCTTTCATTTCTTCTTGTTTTCTTACTATAGCTAGAATATCTAGAACTATAACAAATGCTAGTGGTGACAATGAACATCCTTGCTTTACTCTTGATCTTATTGGAAACTTTTCTCTAATACAAATAATATTAGCTGTTGGTCTTAGATAAGGAAAAGTATATTTCTTCCTATGGTTTTTATATTTTAAAAACAGAAATGGGTATTGTATTTTGTCAAAATCTTTCTGCATTTATTGATGTAACCATGTGATTTTTATTGTTTTTGTTGTTATGGTCTATTATATTTGTAGTCTTCCTAATATTGTCTCAACCCTACATTTTTGCTAAGAATTCAACCTAGTCACACTGTGTATTGCTATGGCCTTTTTGCTAATATCTTATTCAATGGTTTCATGTCAATATTTATTAGGGATAATGGTCTATAGTTTTTTTTTTCTCTGCTTTGTCTCTCCCGGATTGAGACCATATTTATATCATAGAAGATATTTGGATTACTTTTTCTAGTCTTTCAAGCAGTTTATGTAATATTGAAATTAATTGTTCTTTGAATGTTTGATAAAATTCACTTATAAATCCCTCTGGTCCTAGAGTTGTTTGTTTGTTTTTTTAAATTTGGGATTTCATTTATGGTTTGTTCAATTTGCTTTTTCTGATATTATGTTAAAATGATCTATTTATTGTTTTGTTAATCTGGGTATTTTATATTTTATAAATATTTATCCAGTTCATTTGTGTCATTAATTTTGTTCACATATATTGGACCAAAAAGTTTACAGTGATT